CTGTGCCCTCATTCTCCCCTGTCCAGCCACCTGGGCTATTTGCTGCTCCTCAGCACCCCAGGCAACATTGGCTCTGCCTGCAATGCCCTGTCCCCCGTAGCTGCATGGTTTGCTCGCTCTCTTCAAGTCTTTGATCAAATGTCACCCTCTCAGTGTGGCCTTCCCCAATTACACTCTTTCCAGTTCTAACCTCACCCTCACCCCTGCACTGCTTCTTCCCACCAGAATCCCATGAGGGAGGGGTTTTATTTGTCTTGTTCACTGAGAATCACCAGCGTTAGTCTGGCTCAAGGCAGTTAGTTGTTCACTAAATATTTGTTGAATGAATGAATGAATTCATTAGAAAATGAATTCATTAGAAAATTCAGTAGAAAAGCCTACTTTTGTTGAATGAAAACGAAGAGTTTCTAGGGTGAGATGAGGTCTGGAGCCCAAACAAATGATCTTTTAAAATCAGGACAACATTGCAGATAAGCCCAAGCAGTTATCAGTGGCCTCCAGTGTTTACCCACGCCTTCCACTCCCATCCCTGCCTGAAGAACATGGATCCAGTGACCGTGAACCCTGCAACCAAGTCTTCCCAAAATGCTCAGGCTCCCTGGATTGGCAGGTGCTGATCTCCCGGGTTCGAGGTCAACATTAAACAGTGACGTTTACTGAGCATTTCTTACCTAATTTTTGTGCTCTTTCTTACCCAATTTAGTCTTTGGAGCCATTGCCTCTTCTAGGAACTGGGTCTGAGAATTGTAGGATGTTAGAGGTGAACACCAGGGAGCCCTGTCTGTGTGGGTGTCCCGTGAATGCAGTGGCTCCATCCTCTGAACCTCATATTTCCACTTAGATCTGATCCACCTTTATGAAGTTTGCTCACTTATATCCAGGAAAAGCTTTACAGAGGTAGAACCAAGAACATTGAGATGTGCATTTTACAATTCTTTTTGTAAAGGGATCAAGTGGTGCAAAATGTACTCACTCCCCAGCGAGCTGGGATACTCTGCCATCCTGGCCCGGGTTCGAGGAGGTTGTTCTCTTACAGGGTGGGGCTGCGTGCCATCTCAGGGCAACCCTCCTGCCTCCATCAGTTCCAAGCTGGCACTGGGTGCTCGGTGCATCTCCCCCAACTCCCCAGCAGGCTCCTGCGTCTTGCAGAGAGATTCCTGTGTCTGACCCGGACTCCCCTCTGTTCCCCAGGGAGCCTCACAGGATGGCTGCCTCGTCGGGCAACCTGAATGTGGTGGAAAAGGCGAAGAACTTGACGGAAAATGACTGCTTTCGCTCTCGGAGCACCGTCCTGCAGGGGCAGCCCTTCGGGGGCATCCCCACCGTGCTGGTCATCAACGTCATCCTGTGGGTGGTGAGTCCTGGGCAGGGCCTGGGCAGACGGGAGGTGTCGGCTGGGGGCGGACAGTCGAACTTTCACAAGTGATGCCACAGGGGCCCCAGCTGTTCAATGGACACCAGCCACAGTGTGGGGACTCCCTGAATGATAGTCCCACCCAGGGTGGCCCTGGTGGGGCCTTGGGGAGGAGGGGTTTCACAAGTGATGCCACAGGGGCCCCAGCTGTTCAATGGACACCAGCCACAGTGTGGGGACTCCCTGAATGATAGTCCCACCCAGGGTGGCCCTGGTGGGCCTTGGGGAGGAGGGGCTGGAAGCACAGGCTGCCCTCCATGTGCCATTGTCCAGAGGCCCCCCTGGCAGTGCCCTGGGGCCTCCCGGCACCCTCCCCTTGCTGATTTCTTCAAGGGGAGTCTTGCTCAATAGTCCTAAACATGCCCCAGCGCCTTCATCCAACAAACGCTGAGCATCCACTCTGCACCCAGAAGCTGCTGGGCACTGGGCTTCCAGAGTTGAAAAGGCGGGCCTCCCCGACAGCTGGCAACCTCCTGGGGGAGTCCCAGGACCTCAGGGCAGGGTCTCTGCAGGGAAATGCTGGGCCCGGCCCAGGGGAAGGCATCACAAGCTTCTTGCCCCATCTCTCCCTTCCTGGCCTGTAGTTCGTCATTTTCATTTACTCCTTCCTCCGGAAAGCCGCGTGGGACTATGGGCGCCTGGGTCTGCTGATACACAATGACAGGTGAGGAGGCGCTGGGGTCATGCCCAGAGCTGCTTGCTCCCTGGAGAATGTGCTCTGACCCGTGCCCAAGCAGTCATTAGGGTCACGTCAACGGGTGGCATCTCATCCCCCATCCCCTCCCCTGCCCTGCCCTGCCCCTCCTGACACGAAGGTGACTTGGAGAGCAGCCATCTCTGGGCACAAGGCCGCTTTTTCCTCAGACTCAGGCTTTCTGGATCCCGTGACTCCCAAGATATGTTGGGCACCTGGAAACAGGGGTGATCACCATGTGTATCCAAAGCTGTGTGCTCAGCAAATGAGCTCAGGTGTGTCTGCTACTGGGCAGGAGGTGACTGCAGCCCTCGGCCCAGGGGGCAGGCGGGAAGCAAGGCAGGCACCTGAGGCCTCTCCTCTCCTTTTCCTCCTCGCTGCTTTTCCTGCCGGCAGCCTGGCCTCGCTGATCTACGGGGAGCAGAGTGAAAAGACATCTCCCTCGGATATTCCCCTGGAGATGGAGCACAAGGACAAGGTGAGTGCTAGGTAGGCCCGGCCAGGCGGGGTGGGGGTCCTGGCTCAGCAGTAGCCCTACTGTGTGCAGGAAGGACCATGGTCCTAATTAAGGGCTTTGAAGTCAGCCAGACCCACCCACTTCTGGCAATGTGACCGTGGACACATTCCTCAGCTTTGCCAAGCCTGTTTCCCGATCAGAAAAATGGAGATCGCAGCCGTACCTGCCTCCTAGGGTGCCAAGGAAGCATGAGGTGGTTCTAATACTGTAAAGGGGCTTTAGAAACTAATATGTCTACTCTTCCCAACTCTCCAGCCCTTCTCGCAGCTCCAATCCTGCCCCAAGCTCCCACTCTGAGCCGAGGACTCACCTTCTTCTTCACATAGAAGATTCAAGATATCAGGCAGGGCCTCCCAACCCGCCCGTCCTTCCTTCTCTTTCCTGTCGAATGCCACTCCTCCGCTGGGGCCTGTTTGTTCATTCAGCCAGTTGCTGGGAGCACCTGCCATGGGCCAGCTACTGGTCTGGAGGCTGGGCACTGGGCAGGGAGTAAAATGGAGCCAGTCTTGCCTCATGGCACTTTCTTCCTGGGTGAGACAGACAGAGGCATACAGGGCAGTGGTAAGTGTGTATATTGAGAGGGGAGTGGGCTCTACTGTTTAATTGCTGGGCCTCACATTCTGGCTCCATCACATTCTAGTTGTTGGACTCTGTATAAACTGTTTAATTTCTCCGTTTGTTTACTCACCTGTAAAAAGGGGTTAAGCCTGGCCGGTGTGGTCCAGTGGTTGAGCATCGACCTATGAACCAGGAGGTCACGGTTTTATTCCCAGTCAGGGCACATGCCCATGTTGTGGGCTCAATCCCCAGTGTGGGGCTTGCAGGAGGCAGCTGATGAGTGGTTCTCTGTTATCATTGATGTTTCTCTCTTTTCCTCTCTGAAATCAATAAACATATATTAAAAAAAATAAAATGGGGTTGATGATAAAATCCCTGTGTTAGGGTTACTGAGAGAATTAAAGAGGGCACATGTTCAGAAAGCCTTTAGAACAGTGCCTATTAAATATGAACTCTTATTTTTATTTAAAAAATTTAAATGCTTCATCAAAGGGGTGCATCAGATTATAATGTCAGCAGGAATATGTGTTAGGACAAGTTTCATTGAATCTTTGTCATGCATGGTATATTAAAACAAAACCTTTATGCCCTGGCCTGGTAGCTCAGTTGGTTGGAGTGTTGTCCCCATGTGCCAGGGTTGCAGGTTCGATCCCAGGTCAGGGCACATAAAAGAATCAACCAATGAGCCCTAGTTGGTTTGGCTCAGTGGATAGAGTGTTGGCCTGCAGACTAAAGGGTCCCAGGTTTGATGTACATGTCCGGGTTGTGGGCTCGATCCCGGTGGGGGGCGTGCAGGAGGCAGCCAATTGATGCTGTCCTCACATTGGTACATGTCCGGGTTGTGGGCTCGATCCCGGTGGGGGCGGGGGGGGGGACGTGCAGGAGGCAGCCAATTGATGCTGTCCTCACATCGATGTTTCTCTCTGTGTGTCCTTCTCCATTCCTCTCTCTCTAAAAACCAACAAATTAGTTTAAAAACTACATCCACATGAATACTGTAAAGGCACTTGTATTTAATATGTCCACACAGGCCATGATCTCCCTCCCTGGTTCCCTGGTCTCGGGCTCTTCCCACCATCCACCAGGTGTGCCTCCTGTGCTCTTGCCCAGGCCCCTGGGCACGACCAGCTCATGACCCCGTTGTGTGGCTTTGACCTTCTTGGCTTTGTTTCCCTCCACCTCTGCCCATCCCCGTCCAGGCCCCTGTCAGTCTCTTACTTGGATGACTGCAGTGGCTGTAACTGATTAGGTCCACACCGTCCCCGGACCCCACCCAGAGTGATCCACGTGAGTGGGGACACCCATTCCCCTGCTAAAACTTCCGTGGCTTCCTAATGCTCTTGGTGTAAATTCCTAGTGCACCTTTATCTCGTGGTTTGACCTCTTGCCCACTTGTCAGTCTATCTCTTTCCAACTCCTTCACCCCTGGCCCCTGGCCATCTTTTGGATCAGGGGTGGGGAACGTCCAGCCCGTGGGCTGTATAAGGCCTGCGGAATCATTTGGTCAGGCCCTGCCAAGGCATTAATTAGGGGTGAGTTAATTAAATGTTTGACCAAAGGTAGCAGGCTGATTTTTAAGTTGATAATTTTGTATGGCCCGCGAATGGTGTTGTAAATATCCCAATGGCCCTTGGCAGGAAAAAGGTTCCCCACCCCTGTTTTAGAGCCTCAAAAGTGCCACCTCCCTCCCCTGTTCTTCCCTCTCCACCTCCCCCACTGGCCCTCTCTGAGCCAACACACCCACCCTTGTTAGACTCCAGCTCAAGCACCACTTCCCCACCCCATCGGGGTCCAGATCCATTGCTATCTACTCACGGGAAGGCATCCCTTTTCTTCAGCGCCCCTAACGCGGCCTGTAATGAACACCCACCCGCAGCCCAGTGCGGGTGCTTCCCAGTGAGAGCCAGTGCTGACCTGGGCTAGCTCACTGCTGTCCCAGCGCCAGCCCAGCCTGTGGGGTATTAGGACCTGACACAGCTCTAGCTGTTGGGTCCAAGGAGTAAGTAGAACCATATTCCTTCTGGTCATCCCTCCAAGAGAGCGGGTCCCTTTGCCTGCCAGGATCTCGCGATGGGAATGGGAGCCTCAGGCAGGTTCCTCCTCCGCAGAGCAAGGGCAGTCACGCCTGCCTCGCAAGGTGGCTCTCGGGTTTATTTTTAGAAACAACACTTTGGTTGGTTTTTTAAATTTTTGTACAGTGACAAAAATCATTTTATTTTTAAAGTATTAAGAGAAAAATCATCATGGCAGCTAAGGGGCAGTCAAACGGAAGAGAGTAGAAGTTCGTTCCACAAGGAGGGCGAGTGCCCCAGCCTGGGTGATGGGACTGAGCCGGCTGAGGGGTGTGGGAAGCAAACCGTCTCGCCAGGTGCCCGAGCCTGTCAGAGCAGCGGGCATTACCCCATGTGGCAGAGTGGGGAGGATGAGGCCACCAAGAGGGGTGCGGTGAACTGGCCACTGTCACTGGGTCTTGCCAGTTAAGCTGGCCCCTGGGAACTTATGGCCATTTCCTGCATGGGGTGGGGAGAAGACGAGAGGCGGTTCTCAGGCCCAGTGTTCAGCTGTTAAGTTTTCTGAATGGGTCATGCCTCTCAGAGCTACGATGTGTATGCAGGTGTGTATGGATGTGTGTGCGCATGTGTGTGTATATGTGTATGTGTGTGTATAAGTGTATGTGTGTATTTGTGTGTGTGTATGAGAGAGAGAGACAGAGAGACAGAGAGAGAGATGGGTCCACACGTGCTCACTTGTGTATGTGTGTATTTGTGTGTGTGTATGAGAGAGAGAAACAGAGAGAGACAGAGAGATGGGTCCACACGTGCTCACCCATCTGTGTCGAAGTGATTTTCATGGGTACATAGGCCACGCTTCTCCTTCCCAGCTCTGCCCTGTGCAGTGTGAACTCCAGGTTATGTATGTACCCTGTGACGTGGTTCCGGGAAGGTGTGTGCGTAACCAGGAGGGGCTGTCAGCAAACCTACTTGTTTTGTGGTAAACCACAGCCTGTCTGCCCAGGGGTGAGCTGTGGAGAGACTCCATGCAGCGAGGCGTGGCCACAGGACTCAGCCCCAGTCTTCCCAGCTCTGCCCTGTGCAGTGTGAACTCCAGGTTATGTATGTACCCTGTGACGTGGTTCCGGGAAGGTGTGTGCGTAACCAGGAGGGGCTGTCAGCAAACCTACTTGTTTTGTGGTAAACCACAGCCTGTCTGCCCAGGGGTGAGCTGTGGAGAGACTCCATGCAGCAAGGAGTGGCCACAGGTCTCAGCCCCAGTCTCGTCTAGCTGTTCCCGCCTCCCTGGGGACCTTCCCAGTCGCTGCTGCCCTCATCCTGCTATTCGTCCTCATGGTGCTGACTCATTCCTGGGCATCTGACCTTACTTTAGTTCCCCAGGGCGTAGCTGGGGAAATGGTCCCCCCTGAGGTGCACTGTCCCCGTGGACATTCCCACTGTCAATCAACTCAACACAGGGACAGGGACTTAGAAGGTGGGCCTTATGCCGAAGGGAGCAAGGAACATCCTTCATTCCTTGTTTGCCTGCCCCTCATTGTTTCCTTTGGGGACACACCCCCTTCCCAATCTGTGTGGCTCCAGGGACCATCAGCCAATGGGCCTTCCTGGTTCACTGATGTGCTTCCCCCCAAATGAGGACAACCTTTTCCAAGGTTTTGTCAAACCCCCTGAGGTCCCAGAAGGAAGCATGCACCAGGGTAACTTACCCAGCTGCCAGACCTGGCAGCTCTTACAGCGCTGGGCCCCAGCCAGCCCTCATGCACGCTCTTCCCAAGCGGACTCCCACTCTAGGCCCTCCCAGCCCCGCCCCCAAGGCCCAGGCTACCTTTCTCCACCACCCAGACATTCCAGACAGCCAGAGCCCCAGAGAAAGTCATACGAACGGGACCCTCAGATGCAAGAGAAGAAACCCAACTCACACTAGTGTTACAACAAAGGCTAATGCGTGGCTTGAGGTGGGGAGGTCCAAGAGAAGCAGCTGCCTCAGGTACAGCTAGATCCAGCAAGCCTAGTGTTGTCACCAGGATCGCCTCTCTGGTCCTCTCTCTTCTGAACCAGCTTTTTCTCAGACAAGATCCTGCATGTGGCATGGAAGAGGGCGCCAAGTCACTCCAGGCTGCGTGGCACTTACCAAAGTGCAGGAACCCTCTCTCCCAACACCCATCCTGACTGGCCCTAGTTGGGTCATGCTCCTGATGGTCACCTAACCATGTTGACAGCTGCCTACTTGATGGACAGCCTGGGCACTGGGCTACCTGCATGGGGGAGGGCCATTTCCCAGAAGGAAGCATTGAGGGGCAGATGGGAAGCAACTGATGTGCACCCCAGAAAGAGTCCCGTCTCTCCCTCTGGCCCAAGCATCATTTCCTGTAACAGGATGCCAGGCGGCAGGAATGTCAACTCACTCACGGGGAGACATCTCCCTCAGCAGTCACCACCGGCCCCAGCCCGAATCGGCCTCCTCCCAGGACTCGGGCTCTTTCTCTTGCCTGGGAAAGAGAGCCGCATGGACACTGCCTGCTGCCTGGGATGACGTGGCTGCCTGGGTTCCCAGAGCTGGGTGGGGCTGGCCCAGGCCTGGATTTTCTGACGCTTCCTCTCCTTTCCCCCCAGGGCTCCTATGCCTGGTTCATCAACACCATCACCATGAAGTAAGTGCCTGAGCTTTCTGAGCTTGTGACAGCAGAGCGGCCTTCTTGGGGGAGGGTGGGCGGAGCCTCCTACCTGCATGCTGGCCTGGGCCTGATCTCTGTACCCCCCCCCCCCCCCCCCCCGATTATGGCTCAGGCAGAGGACGCTCTCCGGGGTTGCAGTTGGTGACATGGGACCTGGATGTGGCCCACAGCCCATTTTATCTCTGCCCCAGCCCTCAAGAAAGGGCCACTTCCACATGCTTATAAGAATGCTTTCATGAACTCCACACCAGGAAAAGGACACCCTTCCCCAGTGCTATTTGCTTTGTTTCTGTGACCATCATTCATCAAATTTGTCAAAATGGGGGGGAAACCCACTGGGCAGAAGGGTGGGCTTTCTCTTTCAACCTCGGCGCCCGATGGCAGAGGGACAGCCCCTTGCCCTCCTCACCTTCGGGATCTCCTTAGTGCCAGACCCCATCTGGTGAGGAGACAGACCCCTAGTGACTGTTGTCCTGATTCTCCCATTCCAGCCAAACACTTCAGTCAAGCAAATACTTTCCAGAGTTCTGTGGCCCACTGCATGTGTATACATATGTGCACACACGCATGCACATGTGCACACATGCACACAGCTCTGACTCCACCTCAGAGCCCTGCACGCTCCTGGGCTCTCTCTAAATATCCCCATTCATCCTGCCCTGCTTGTCCTTCAAGCTCCTCCTCCAGGTTTCTTTCCTGCCTGGTGATGCCTGCCCTGGGCTGCAACCTCACTGTCCCTGTCCCCAGCACCCCACCCCAGCACCCAGCCACCTACACAAGGGGAGGCCTGCTAATTTGCTTCTTTGCAAAGACTCAGAGGACTTCTTTCTCATGGGCCTCCACACCCACCATTCAAGGGCTTTGCTGGGAGCATTCGCACATTGTCCCAAGCCCCCAACTGGGTGAGCCACACCAGGGCAGCTCTCTTTCCCCAGACTGTTGAAGGGCCTAGGAACTGTGGGAGCACAGGGCAGCCTGGCTGGGCCTTGGGAATCCAAGCCAGGCAACAGCCTCTGGTGTTGAGCCCCAACCCTGCTGATGGGGAGTTCCCCAGGGCCTTGGCCTCCAGTCTTCTTTCATGATTCCTCCGAGTCCCCAAAAAGTGATGTGGCAAATGGGTGTGTGGTTCAGGAAGCTTAGCCACATGTGAGGGGGAGCAGAGGGGAGACTTTTATTTCTTGGCACCTCCTCTAGTTTTGCTTTGTTAATTTTTAAAGCATGCACAAGCTCACATAAATACATTTCATTAAGAAATATACACGTCCACCTTCAGTCTCTCACGCCCCTCTTCACGAACCCCTCCGCAGAGGCAAACTCTGTCAACAGTTTCAAGGGAATTTTCTTTTCTTTCCAACCAGCATTTACTATTTTTGCATTTTAAAAACAACCGATAACGCATCTGAACATTCAGAGGCTGTATGGGCTGGCTCTAGGCTCCTGGGTTAGCAAATTCATGAATGATGGGCAGGGCATGATGGCAAATCAGGCAGCCCTTTGCATGGGAAAGAGGGAGGAAAAACTGGATGAATGGGCCTGCCCGTGCTGACCACATCCTCAGGTCTGGGAGAAAAGGTTAGTTTGAGGCCGACTTTCTGGATTTTCTCTGCTGTTTGCTGACATGTCAGTGGCTATACACAGGGCAGGGGAGAAAGTGTCTGTGTTGGGAGGGAGGAACATACATGCAAAACATAAAGCTTATGTAGTAGGTGTCTGTGTGATGTGCATGAGTGTGAAATAAAAGATGCAGGTCACTACGTTGGTGCAAATCGGTATGTACAGCTGTTCATGTGTGCACACCTGGACCTGGAGGTCAGTGGGAAGTCAGTGTGTATGGGCGGAGGGGGGAGGGTGTATCTGTGTGAGAATCCTCTTCCCCCTACCCCCACTGCACCCCAAGGCCCCTCCATCAGAAACACATGAACACATGACCTGGGAAGGGAGGAAGGCTGGGCAGTGCACTGTGCATCCTGCTGACTTTGAGAGCAATGTCTAGAAGACAGCTTAATACACTTACTGAGCAGGGACAAGGAGGCCAGAGGTCCAGTGCATAAAGGCCATGCAGTCTAATTGGAGAAGCAAAGGGTTAACAGGACTTACTACAAATACTTGATAATGAGAAGGTTATCATTGCTGTGCAAAGGGCATTTAGGAGAGCAAGAAATTCTAGGAGGATCAGGAGAAACATAGTTTTGAGCTAGGCCTTGAAGGATTGGGAAGAATTTCACCACTGTGATGTGAAAGCCCATCAAAATAAAGACTTGTGTGAGCAAAGGTTTGGGGCAGAGATGGGCAGGGAATGTCCCGAATGGTGATTCTTCGGATGTGGCTAGAAGCAAGGGTACATGGCAAGAGAGGAGCTCACAGTTTGGGCTGGAAGGGTCAGCTGGGATCTTGGCTACCATACTGAGAATCTCAGCGTGATGGAGATCTAGAGGCAGTAGCGAGCTAATTCCTATTTCTGGGCAGGAAACACAGGATGGTGGGGGGGGGGGGGGGGGGGGGGGGGGGGGCGTTGGTGAATGGCAGCTGGGAAAGTTCAAAGGTGAGGTGAGCAGCTGCTCACATAGATGCATATATAGGGTATCCCTAAAAATGTATGCAAACACTTTGAATAATTATAAAGGCAGTATTTATTAAAATACATTTCATTTTCATTTAACAGCTATCAGCTCTTAAAGTATGTATACATCTTTTTGGACACTCTGTATATCTCACAATTCTATGTCCATTCCACCTTTAGTAGACATTTAGGTTGTTTCCAGTTTGGGACTATTACAAATAATGCATCTATGGAATCCTTATACATGTCTTTTGATGCACAGGTGCATGCATTTCTGTTGGATATAAACCTAGGAATGGAATTGCTAGGTCATAGGGTGGGCATATATTCAGCTTCTAACTTTGGCCCATCTGGCAGTATGGAGTGATATCTCGTTGTGATTATAAGTGTTCCTTTTTAATGTAAAGAATTAAAAGAAACAACTTTTTAAAAGTAGGATGCATCTTGATGGGACTAGTGGTTTGTCTGTTGCCTACACCATAGCAAGCACTCAAAATGCTTGAAGATGCAAGAAAAAACCCCAAATGAATGCCTGATTTCAAGAGTGTTCTGTATTGAGTGTGGCAGAGCCTCTAACTTTGCTATGCCTGTGGAATTCAGTGAAATACGTTTCAGGCATTACAGAGACCTTAAAAGAAGGGTGATATTTCAAAAAAATTCAAACTTCGGGTTAAGGTGGTAATCTTCTCTCCCTTTCCTCTCCCTCCCTCTCCCCACCCCTGACTTAAGCTGTGGCCACATTGGCTCCTGAGGAGTGTCCTTGTCTATGTCTCTTCCAGGAACAGAGATCTGATCAGCAAATGTGGAGACGATGCCCGCATTTACATCATGTTCCAGTATCATCTCATCCTCTACGTGCTCATCCTCTGCATCCCCTCCTTGGGCATTATTTTGCCCATCAACTACAGCGGAAACGTGCTGGGTAGGCAGCACTCAGCAGGCCCTGGGCCTGGGCCACTAGACCTGAGAGGCAGCCTGGTAGGCAAGACAGAACTTAGGTCCTGGGAGTCTAGAAATCTACATTTTAATTCCACTTCTCATATTTTAGTTATGTGACCTAGCAGCCTATCCTTCAGTCTTCTCACCTGGAGACTGGAAATGATACCTCCTTTGTCACAAGTTTAACCCAGAGCCGGGCACCTGGCAGACACCCAGGAATAATTCAGTCTAGAACTGAATGACGCCACCCCATACTGCACCTGGCCAGGTGTTCCTGGAGGCCCTTTTATGATGTAAAGTCCCTGAACCTGAGTTCTTCCTGTATCCACTCTGATGGACAGATCATAAGTGCAGAAGTTGTCTCATAAGGCGTCTTCCCACACTTGTTATAAAACAGAGTAAATCCTTTTGACAAAATAGCATCGTGGGTGAAGGCTTGGGCTTCAAAGACAGAAAAACCTTGATTCCCCAACTTTGACCCACATCTACTTCCCAGAAAATACCTTTGCTCAATCTAGCAAATTATTTAATCTTATATTTGGTAAGTCAATTTCCCCAGGGCTCCGTTTCCTGGACTGTCATGAGGATTGGGAGATGATGCGTGTTGAGTGCCTGGCACAATGCCTGATGTAGTAGGTGCTCGGTGAATAACAGCCAGTGTTTCATTTAGAAATAGGAAGATGGACAGAGCTGTAGGAAGGCTGTACAGCAAGATGGTCTAGAATAGCACCTTCAATGCCCCGGTGATGGCCAGCTTTCCCCTAATTGCTCAGGTTTCTACTTATTTTTCCTCAGGCCAGAGGTAGACCTCAATGAACTCAACATAGCACAGTCTCTATGCCTTTAAATACCACTACCAGAGCAAACTTCTGATCCTGTCTTTCCACAGTCTCATCCTAAGCTAGTGCGTTGGCAATGTCAGTATAACACAGGATCTCACAAAACCTGGAGATGTCTAAACGGACACACACACTTAGCCAGAAGGATTTTTCTCTGTCCGAATGAGGGAGCATCACATTTTCTGGAGGTTCGGGTCCTTGTCATTGTTGCCAGTGGTAACAGTATTGCTAATTTCATTATTCCACTCATGGCCTGGTTCCCTCAACAAGCATTAACGGGTGTCAGTTACATGTCAGTCGTGCTCTGGGGACGCCACACCAAGACTCGGTCTTGCTTGATGGCCAAGGAGCCCCCATCAGCAGGCCCAGGGAAAAGAAGAGGCCTCTGCCATTTCTGTTGGAAGTTGGGGAGAAGCTCTGGGGAGCTAGAAGGAAGAGCAGGTCGCAGGCCAGCATCCCTGGGCACTCATTCGAGAGCCTTGAATACTGGCTCCCCATGGCAATCAAGGAGCCGGGCTTGAGGTCAGCAACTTTCTTCTCTTGCAGACTGGCGTAGTCACTTTGGTCGGACCACCATTGTCAATGTCTCCACAGAGTAGGTACCTGATCCTCTTACGTCCCATTCTACGGGCTGGGAGTGTTGGTGGGGAGAGAAGGTTCAACATGAGGTACATAGCGTGGGCACCGTTTTGCTGATAAGAAAGGCCTGATTTCCTTGGGAACCCAGGCTCTTAGTAAGATGCCAGTAGTTATATTCTCTTGGTGGGGCAGAACTCTTGGTGCCTCAGTGTTCCCTATAAAGGGCGGAACTACCCAAACCAGCCATTCCTGAAGACTTGGAAAGATGTCCCTATTTGCTTAGTCAGTTCCCAACAGGCAAAGACCCCATAATAGCCAATAATTAAGGAATTGCTTCCCTGCCCACAAAATAGGGCCAGGTAGTTGAGTGAAGCATAGGTCTGATTCCCACAGTGGAGGAATGGAGGAACCTGGGTTCAGGCCCCACCTCTGCCACCAGGTGCCCTGGGTCTGGAACAGTGCACCCACCCCTCTGAGCTTCATCCCTAGTTTGTGGTGGGCAAAGGGCTGTTAGACATGATCTCTAAGCCCCCTCCAGCCCTCATGGTCCAGGAACCATGGGTTTTAACCTCAGCCAAACCAAAGGGTGGTCAAATCGACTTGTACTGAACCCAGTGGAGCCCTGCTGGTCATGCTGAGAAAATAGACACAGTAGGTGCCTTGGCCAGGTGGGGCCAACTTCCTGAGAAAGCAGAAGCAGCAGTTCCAGCAGGTGTGAGTGGGGGTTCATACACTCTTGCCCTGCCTCCCCTCCCCCACCTCTTTGCCTCTGCCTCCACAGCCCTGCAATGCACCAAACTCCCCAATCAGCAGAATGGGGTTATGGTCTCCTTTCACCTCCCTTTCAGCCATCTCCTCCTGGGGTGCCGCCAACCCCAGAGCAGAGCTTACCAGCTTCTCCCCAGGCCATCGCTCTTGTGAGGAACCTACACCTTCCTGGCAATTCTATATAAGGCAGTAGAGTCTTCAACATCCATAAATCCATATTGGCAGAGAGCCGGAGTATTCCTTAGAGACCACATAACCTTGCCCCCTCTGAGGAACCTTAGGGTCGACACTAGATGAGGAATGTTAGGTGAATGTTAGGCACCAGGACGAGTGGTGAGGAGGTATTTTGAAGCAAGGCAGCCTTTTTCTCCTCCAACCGCTCCAAATAAGGTGGGCCCTATTTCTGAACAGTCATCCTGGCCAGATGCCTGGGGCCAGCATCACTTGGGCCCAAAGCCCAAGTGCCCCCACTCTTCCTGCCCCAGGGGAGGTGTCATGAATCTGCGGGTCCTCCTTCCACCAGGCCTGAGTATGACCCCAGATTCCCTCATCCCAGAGGTTGGTTAGCTGTGGGGATCTGAGCCACAGCCACTGGCACCACGACATAGTGGTGAAGAGTCCAAGGGCTGCTGCTATGGCTAGGAGGGACCTCAGGCAGATCACCTACCACCCTGACCCTCAGGGTGACACGAAGATAGTCACCTGGTGTGAGAGTCTAGTGAGAAATGTATATAAAGCGTCCCACCCTGAGGGGAGACTGTGGGTCTGGCATATAGTAAGCACTCAATGAATGTTAGCTTCATTAGCTGGCGGGACACCCCCATCTCGCCATTGCCATCCCTTCCAAGGAACCCGATTGTCTGGAAGCAACAGAGGGGCATCCTGGGGATTCTGTGTGGGTGGGAGAGGGGATCCTGGGGATACTGTGTGTGGGAGAGGGGATCCTGGGAGACTGTGGGTGAGAGAGGGGGTCCTGGGGAGACTGTGTGTGGGAGAGGGGGTCCTGGGAGACTGTGGGTGGGAGAGGGGGTCCTGGGGAGACTGTGGGTGGGAGAGGGGGTCCTGGGGAGACTGTGGGTGGGAGAGGGGGTCCTGGGGAGACTGTGGGTGGGAGAGGGGGTCCTGGGGAGACTGTGGGTGGGAGAGGGGGTCCTGGGGAGACTGTGGGTGGGAGAGGGGGTCCTGGGGAGACTGTGGGTGGGAGAGGGGGTCCTGGGGAGACTGTGGGTGGGAGAGGGGGTCCTGGGGAGACTGTGGGTGGGAGAGGGGGTCCTGGGGAGACTGTGGGTGGGAGAGGGGGTCTTGGGGAGACTGTGTGTGTGGGAGAGGGGGTCCTGGGGAGACTGTGTGGGTGGGAGAGGGGGTCCTGGGGAGACTGTGGGTGGGAGAGGGGGTCCTGGGAGACTGGGTGGGAGAGGGGGTCTCACTCTCCTGTGTCTTGCCCCTGGCAGTAATAAGATCCTATGGCTGCACACCTCCTTTGCCTTCTTATACTTCATCATCAACCTCCTCTTCATGGCTCATCACTGCTTAGGGTTTGTGCCCAGGAGGAGCTCCAAGGTAAGTGAAAGGAGCTGCCAGAACTGCTCCCTCCCAGCTGGAACCCCTCCCCAGCTGGACCTCCCCACTCCCAGCCTCAGAGGCTTCTCAGTGGGGCACATTCTGCACCCCTGTGAGGAGAAGTCTCTCCTTAGCCCTCTGAACTGCACAGCCATCCCAGTCGTGAAAACACTGACTCACTTCCAAACTGGTTGGTAAATAGCTGCTCCCTGGCGCCTCCTACCCCTGCACCCTTGCTGCCCTGTCCCCTCTCTAGAGACCCCTGGACTTCCTCACCATCTGAAAACTCAAGGGAGGCTGTGGGGGGGGGGGGGGGTCCTGGGGATTCTGTGTGGGTGGGACAGGGGGTCCTGGGAGACTGTGTGGGTGGGAGAGGGGGTCCTGGGAGACTGTGTGGGTGGGAGAGGGGGTCCTGGGAGACTGTGTGGGTGGGAGAGATGGTCCTGGGAGACTGTGTGGGTGGCAGAGGGGGTCCTGGGGAGATGTGTGGGTGGGAGAGGGTCCTGGGGAGACTGTGGGTGGGAGAGGGGGTCCTGGGAGACTGGGTGGGAGAGGGGGTCTCACTCTCCTGTGTCTTGCCCCTGGCAGTAATAAGATCCTATGGCTGCACACCTCCTTTGCCTTCTTATACTTCATCATCAACCTCCTCTTCATGGCTCATCACTGCTTAGGGTTTGTGCCCAGGAGGAGCTCCAAGGTAAGTGAAAGGAGCTGCCAGAACTGCTCCCTCCCAGCTGGAACCCCTCCCCAGCTGGACCTCCCCACTCCCAGCCTCAGAGGCTTCTCAGTGGGGCACATTCTGCACCCCTGTGGGGAGAAGTCTCTCCTTAGCCCTCTGAACTGCACAGCCATCCCAGTCGTGAAAACACTGACTCACTTCCAAACTGGTTGGTAAATAGCTGCTTCCTGGCGCCTCCTACCCCTGCACCCTTGCTGCCCTGTCCCCTCTCTAGAGACCCCTGGACCTCCTCACCATCTGAAAACTCAAAAGTTAAGAAACCCTTAGCCCAGCAGGGCCCTGCATCCTAAGTGGCCAGTGTCCCCTGCTGAACCACTGGGTACTGTAAATATTTTCACTAGCCTGGCCCACTCCAACCATGCCCAACCTCCGTGGCCTTCCAGAGTCTTCCTAAATTCAGAAACCCCATGTCTTGCCCCTGTGTCTCCCCACTGTCTTGGTTTGGGTTACCCCTCCCCCATCTCCCATGCAGACCCCGAGACAAGGATTTGAGTAGCATTGGTTTATTTGGGAGGTGATTCCCAGGAAAGACCACTGGACCCTGGGAGGGGGCGGGGGGCAGTGGGACTAGGAGGAAAGACCTCTGATAAAGGGGCTGGAAGGGGCAATTCACCACTGTGGGAGCCAGCCCCTAGTCCCATGAGAAACGCTGAGAATTGGCCCCTAATCCCATGGGAAACGCTGAGAATCGGAGTAGAGTGTGTGCCCTAGAGTTGCTGAAGCTAGTGGGGAGAATCGGGTGCACTTTCCCACCTACTCCCTGTCCATCGCTGGCTGAGGGCTGTGTTTGGGGCTTTAACTCTTCTCCACTCCTTGCTCTGCACGTGGGCTGGGCAAGCTGCCAAGGTCAGGAAAGAGGTCCCGTGTTTGAAGTGCTTGGGCGTCTTTGGGGTGTGAGGGGAGCGCCCAGGGGCTGTGGGCAGGCACCGCAGGGGAGGGGCGTGCGAGTGGTGCGGCTCTGGTGGGGAAGGGAACCAGCTCAGAGGAACATCCCTGGCTCCTGCCCTCAGCCTTTCAAAGGTTCAATGGAGTGGAATCCGCTCCTTCGAGGCCATCCATCCTGATGAACTGATTGACTTGACCTCACCCCAGAACCCCAATCCACATACCCTTGAAAGAGCACCCTGAAGGCTTCTGCCTGCCAGGCCTGGCAAGTAGCAGGCAGGCTCCAGGTGCTGCAGGGCCCCCCAAAGCCCCAGACATCCAGGTCCCGAGTAAGCAGTCTTCCTTCTCCATGTACCCTCCCCACCTAGGTCACAAGGACACTGATGATCACCTATGTCCCCAGAGACATCCAAGACCCTGATATCATCATAAAGCATTTTCAGTAAGTGGGTTGGGTGGACGAGCATGGATGGCCTCCTCCCAGTAACCCTGCCTGGATTCTTCTGTGGGTAGTGAGTCAGCACAGGAGGGTGAGGTGAGAGACACCCCAGGTGGTAGCTCACCCTGGACTGGGCTAAAGATCAGCCTTTCAGAATGGGGGAGTCCTAGAGCCACAGCAGGTCTTCTAAAGTCAGGGGTTCCCTGCATAGCATGGGTGTTGTGGGGGAGCTAGTTTTCCTTTCCCTCGTCACTCCAACTACGAGCCCAGGGCGTTCCTGGGCCACAGTCACCTAGGATAGGTCATCTTGGGGCATCTGTTGTCACCCAAGTGTCCAGCCCCAGGAGCTAACTATCTCTCCATGAGCAGCCATTCCAGCTCTGCCCCTGGGTCATCTGGGAAGGATGTGGCAAATCTCAGATTACAGGGATCAACCCCAAAGTTGGGCTGTAGCTCTGGGCCCAGGGTGGGGTGGCACATCCTCAGCTCCACAGCTGGCTCAGCATCCATGTTTGTGGCTGCAGCGAGGCCTATCCAGGGTGCGTAGTGACCAGAGTCCACTTCTGCTATAACGTCAAGACCCTCATTGACTTGGACGATCAAAGGTGAGGCTGCAGCAGGGGCGTCTGCCTCTGGGATGGGGGTAGAATGGGAGGGTGTGGCTCCGCTGGCCCCTGACTACAAGACCCTCCCGCTCCCCATTGCCTGCCGGCTGACAGGCGCCATGCGATGCGGGGCCGGCTCTACTACACAGCCAAGGCCAAGAGGCATGGGAGAGTGATGATCAGGATCCACCCCTGTTCCCGCTTGTGCTTTTGCAAATGTTGGACCTGCTTCAAAGAGGTAAGTGGCACAGGTATCCGGGGACACAACAGAGGAAGGGCTGGGGCCCCGGGTCTCCAGGCTCTGTCCAGGGCTCAGGAAGTTGCCCAGTCTGCACCCTTAGACCCCAGGCCCTTCCTTCCTCCCCACCCCTCCTGCCTCCCATGGAGAATGTAGAGGAGGGACCAGGGAGGCTTGCTTTGTCCCACTTCTAGTCTTGGATGGGAGGACCAGAGAGAAAACAGTAGGCTGCAGTAGCTTGCCAGGCCTCGGGCTTTCGAAGAGATAGGACAGGAACACTTGAAGGCAGTGGGCTTTGTCTTATCACCCACCCATTGTGGCTGGAAGGCAGCCTCAAGACTCGAAAACTTGCCTCAGGGCAGCACTGAGCTCTAGTCAGAGAAAGAATCAACCCCCTTTCCTGAAAATGCTGCAAACATACTCTTTCACTCCTCTGGAGTCCACCCAAAATCCGAAACACCCCTAGTCCCCAGCGGGGCCTCACTTTCCCCAGACCTAGAAGCAGGGAGCTAGTTTTAGAGTTGAAGCCTCTTCCTGTTCTAGAGTTGGGTGCTTTGAGCCCACCTGGGTCCTGAGCCAGGCTTCCCTGGGAGCTGGGAATGAACGGAGACCTCGGGCCCACTGCCCTGTGTCCAGGCGAGGCCTTCCCGGAGCTCTGCCCCCAGCTCTGAGGGCCCCTCTCACCCAGGTAGACGCAGAGCAATATTACAGTGAGCTGGAGGAGCAGCTGACCGATGAATTCAACGCCGAGCTCAGCCGCGTTCCACTGAAGCGTCTGGACCTGATCTTTGTCACCTTCCAGGACACCAGGATGACGACGCGGTGAGTGTCCCATCCCAGGAGTGGGCCTCTGCTTCTCTGAAGCTACCTCCTTCCCTGAATTTCAGCCAAGGGGAGGATGAGAGAGCCTCTCTCCAGTTTGCAATATCCTGCCCTCCCCAGCCCCTGCATATCCTCACAGGCAGCGCCATCTCCTGCCCAGACCAGGACCACACCCTTTCCCCCAGGGGCCAGCTCAGCTTGTCTCTGGTTACACCAGGTCCTGAGCGCCTCACTCCCCTATGTCCTTGCCGCAATCACAGGGGTGGTCAGAGTAGCCTTTGAACTCTTGGTTCCTCTTCTGGGACAAGAACGATACCCATTTTCTCCCTCATCACTCATCATCCGCTCCTCACCACAAGTGACGGTCAGGGTAGAGAAGCCCAGCTTGCATTTCTCCTCTCCTGCCGCAGGCCTCCCCATTCCTGGCCTTCAGCCTCCTCCCTCCTGTCCCCCAGCCTCTGGCAGCCCCACCTTAATAGGGAGTGGATTATGTCCACTCTAGAATGTTCTGGACGGATCCTTAGATCCTTAGGACTGGATCAAATAGGCGAGAGCCCCAGAATCAGTCTCTTGAGGGTCGTGGGGGCCCACCTCTCCCTGAGGAGCCTGATCATGGACAACACTGTCCTCGCCCACCCAGCCCTACAAAGGAGCAGTGGGATAGCCTAGCAATTAGTCACGAATAATTGTGTGCAACTTTGCAAATCTCAAATTTCTTATCTGTCAAATTTGCTTATTTAGATCTTCCCTGTCCAGCTCCCAGAGGCTTAATAAAGGATATATGTTCTAATTAGTGTGCGTGTTCTATGAAACACTGCATCTACGTAAGACTGCTTCTTGTGTTCTGAGACATGGTTAATTACGGCGGAAGTGTGGAGGAGAAGGCCAAGATGGGGTCCTTTATGCGTGTGTCTTCAGGCACCTCAATTTAGTAATCTGTGCCATTGGGATTATGTTAATCACCAACAAGCACAGTGCTGGGCGCACAGAAAGAACTCCGTGATTGGCAGATATTGATATTTGGATGAGGGTGAAATTAGTGCCTCCCTGTCAAGCTCTGAGAAAGAACATGTCTTGGTGGTATCTCTGCTGTCAAGGGGCCAAGACATTAACTGAGAGCCATGTGGTCCCCCCCTTCCTGGGCAGTCCCTCCCTCTAACACCCCTTTCCTCCAGCGACTAGACCTCAGGATCTGCCCACCTCTAAGGGCCTGGGAGACATAGCCAAGGCTTCAAGAGGCCCCAGGAAGTGTATGAGCCCCCACCTGGGGAACCCTCACATGAGACCCCCCAAGCCCGTCATCTTCACCCCTAGACTTCTGTCTCCTTCCCCCATCTCGGCAGCATCCTAAAGGACTACAAGTTCGTCCAGTGTGGGGTGCGCCCCCAGCAGTCCTCGGTGACCACCATCATCAAATCCCACCGCTGGAGGGTTGCCTTTGCCCCACACCCCAAAGACATTATTTGGTAAGCCCCCTCTTCCGCCCCCTCCCCTTTGAGACTGAAGAAGGCAACGGGCAACAGGACGGAAGATGAATCGGGCCCACTTTGTTGCCCATTTACGGCCCCCTCTGGGCTGGGCCATATCCTCTCCTGAGGACCCCAGCCTCTGCCACCCCCAAGCCCACCCCACCACAAGTGAGGATGGCACCAACTCCCGGGGGAAAGGTTTTTCCTGCAGAGAGAACTCATCTATTTTTTTGGCTCACCTGTGTGATATATTGAGAGCTTTTACAAAGGGTGTGATTGAGGGAAAGGTCCAGAGCCAGTGGCATGCAGGTCTAGGTCCCAGGGGCTGAATGAGACCAGGGCAGCCTGGCCCACAGCTGGCATGCAGGAAATGACATGTGGGCTCTGTCGAAGGGCTGGGACCTGGGGTCCTAAGTGCATCTCTTTCATCCATCCCTCCCAGGAAACACCTGTCTGTCCGCCGCTTCAATTGGTGGATCCGCTTCATCGTAATCAACACCCTCCTCTTCTTCCTCTTCTTCTTCCTCACCACTCCCGCCATCATCATCAACACCATCGACATGTATAACGTCACCCGCCCCCTCGAGAAGCTGCAGGTACCTCCTCTGCTCAGGCCGGCCTGGGACGCCAGGGCGGTGAAGGAAGAACTTAGAGGAGGATGGAATGGGGGGTCCACGGGGACATGGATCCAGAGCCCATGCACCAACACTTTGGTGCAGGTGGCATCAGGGTAAATGGTGGCATGGAGTTTCCTTTGTTCTAAAGGTACGAATACTCGTTGCTGCCCATCTTAGGGACTGGGACTGAGAAGCAAAGGGAGAGTGGGGGAGCTGCAGAGAGGTTCTGGGGTGAGTTTGGAGAAAAAGGATGGTCTAGTCCAGTGGTTCTCAACCTTCCTAATGCCGTGACCCTTTAATACAGTTCATCATGTTGTGGTGACCCCCAATTTCATTATTACAAATTGAACTAATTAAAGCATAGTGATTAATCACAAAAACAATATGTAATTATATATGTGTTTTCCGATGGTCTTAGGCGACCCCTGTGAAAGGGTCATTTGACCCCCAAAGGGGTCGTGACCCACAGGTTGAGAACCGCTGGTCTAGTCAATCGTGGGCTCAGAGAGCTTCTTTAGATTCACCATCCAGGCCTAGCGGTGCAGAAGGGGCAGCAGAAGGCATGGCAGGTGCAGCAGCTCTGGTCCCCCCACGTTCTAGAGCTGGGCCCGTGTTTGAGGGATAGGGTTGAGGGTGGAAAGAGTGCGGTAAGCTCCAGCACAGCCTTCTGGTAGAAGGAACACTCCAGATCTGTGTTGGGTCCCTCACTTCCAAGATGGGAGTGCTGGGCCCACAGGAGCCATTCCTGAGTCAGAAGATGCTCCATACTGACAGGGGGTCCAGGAACCAAACTGGCCCATTCCACATTCTATAGCCTCAGGCTGTTTTCACGGGCCTAGAAGGCCTCTTTTCAGATTATCCTCACCCCTATTCCAGCATCACACACTCTCTCTCTCCCTCTCTCTCTCTCTCTCTCTCTCTCTCTCTCTCTTACTTGGGCCCTCCTTTGTCATCTTCACGATAGGCTCCAGGCAGGAGCTCCACAGCTCTCCCTGGGGATTCGTTATATATATTATTGATCTCAGAGAGGAATGGAGAGGGAGCGAGAGAGAACCATCCATGATGAGAATCACCGATCTGCTGCCTCCTGCACACCCCACACCAGGAATCGAGCCCGCAACCCGGGCATGTGCCTTGACCTGGAATTGACCTGGGTGACCTCCTGGTTCATCCACTGAGCCACGCAGGCTGGCCTCCCTGGGGATTCTTTATTCACATCCTCCCCCTTTTTGCCACTTCTCACACAGCATCACATTAAACACAGTGTCATCTCCCCGAGGTATGAGACATGAGTGACAGCAGCTGGTTCTGGTCCAGGCTGCCCCTCCAGCGACCTTAGCATAGAAGGTCTATGCCCCTTGGATGCCACTTGACCTTAGGGTGGGAGCCTCTGTGCCACCAGCCAGGCCGACCCCTGGCCAGGAAGGCAAGTGAGAAGGGCCAGGCCCACTGTGCAGCTCAGGGAAACCAGGCCTGCGCTGGGGCCAAGCTGGAGAAGAGGCCAGGTGTGCGGGAGAAGGCAGAGGAGGCCTGGAAGGAGAAGGGGCCTTCTTGCACTGATGTCTCTCTCCCTCTCCTGCCCCGCCCCTGCAGAGCCCGATCATAACCCAGTTCTTCCCCTCCCTGATGCTCTGGGCCTTTACAGTGATATTGCCTCTGATCGTCTTCTTCTCTGTCTTCCTGGAGGCCCACTGGACCAGGTGAGCTGGGGCCTCCTCTCCAAGACCTGTTCTTCCCAGCCCTTCCCCTGTCCTCCCCCCACCACCCACTAGCCTGGTGCTCTGTCCTCCCATCCTGCCTAAGGAATGGAATTGGATACCCAAAGCCATCCCAAAAGGGTAAGGGGAGGGCTGCATCGTCTCTGGGTCTCTGGCCTCAGGGATGCTGAGACAGGGCCACTGTATGAGAGATGTGGGGCCAAAACCAGCTGTCCTTGGGCGAGAGCTTCCAGCTGTGCACTGAGGGGGTGGAGCTGTGGGCAGAGAGGAGAGAGCAGGACTGGTTTGGAGAATGTCCAGAAGGCTGCTATGGCCAGCGCAGAGGAGCCCGTGAATTCAAACTGACTGTGGACCCATCTAGCCCATACAGGGCCCACATTTTAAGCAATCAGGAACCATTTCCCATGGATGAGCCCTAGTAGTTCTATGGTGGCTAATTGGATGGGAAGTATTTATTATATCCTGGGCAGGTGGACCTGCTCTGGTCTGAGGGCTACATGGGTCTCAAAAGTTATTTCCTGCACCAACGTTCCTACCATCCTCCCAGCAGCAAGCCAGGAGGTTTGTCCTAACAAATCCTTCCTGGTGTCTCCTGTGGCCAAGAGCAGGGCTTGTGTTGATCATTAAAACGCCAAAGGTATTTTGAATATCATTGGTAATGTCCCTTTAACTATGTGGCACAGATGCCTCCCCTTCCTGTGCCCAGGGTAGATAGCACTAGTTGATCATGCGATGCTTTCCTGCTGCTGCCAGGCACAGCACGCCTCACAGTCCTCCATGGAGAAGGCATTGGTATGCGCTAGTAAATCAATTTTCTAGGCCAGGTAGCGGTCTCTCTCTCTGTCTCTTCATTCTGTAGTTTTAAGCCTTTGGTTCTTATCACATCTCACTCACTGATGAATCTCTGTTCCCTTCCAGATCAAATCAGAACCTGGTCATCGTGTATAAGTGCTACATCTTTCTCGTGTTCATGGTGATCATTCTGCCCTCTATGGGACTGACCAGGTATCTCACCTCTAATTATTTCTCCTTTCTCAGTCAGGCTCAGCCTAGCGTTGGAACCTCCTCTTTCGGATACTGTAGGTCTACCTGTAGTTGCTGCAAATCCATTCCTCGATTGGCAGTCCAGGGGGCCTGTCATGAGCCTAGCATGTCCCAGGTATCATGCTAACTCTAAGGTGTCAGCCATGAACGCTGCCCTCACAGAGCTTACCATCGAGCTGGGGTGACAAGTCATTCCTACCAGCTAACTGAAAGCCAAACTGGGGACCACGCAGTAGAAATTCAGAAGGAGAGAGAATTAGGGAAGAAATGGCTGTGGGAGAAATCTTGCTAAAGGAGGTGGCCTTGAGCTGAAAGGCCAAGGGCTAGGGGCAGGATGGCCCAACATCAGGAAGGAAGAGAGGCAGCTAGAACATTAGGGTTCAAGACTCTTTGGGACTTGGGAAAGGGAAGTCAGTCCAAGAAGAATTGAACCTAAGGCCTTAGTTCATAAATTCATTAACTAAAGGGCCTGCCTTGCTCTTGCTTCTAGTTTGGATGTCTTTTTCCGCTGGCTCTTTGACATCTACTACCTGGAGGAGGCCTCCATCAGGTTCCAGTGAGTACTCGAGTGCATGTTGCAGGTGCACTCCCAGTGTGCACTGGGGCTCTGTGGGTTCGCACCAGGATGCGGATGTGTGCACCCTTTACTTGTTCACACAGGGAGAGACGAATGCACGCAGGCACCTCATTAGGCAGCCTCTTAACCTTTCCTGTGCTGTGGGCTCCCGGGGCAATCTGGTAAAGCCAGGGCCCCTTCTCTGAATTTTTTGAAATAATTGTAGATTCATAGGAAATTGTCCCTCCCCCCCCAAAGTGCCCTGTGTTCCCTTCACCCAGGGTCTCGCAATGGTAATATCTTGCATGACTCTAGCACAATATCATACCCAGGAAATTGACATTGAAACAACTCACAGAGCTTATTCAGGTTTGGCCCGTTTTACATATACTCCAAGTAGATGTCTTCAAATACACAATATACCTGGGTTACAAAGAATAGCAACTGCACTGAAGTCTAGTTATCAAGTAATTTAAAAATCAAACTTGTAACACGATCTTTGTAACACATTTAATGGCAGGACAATGCGTTTGAAATGTAGGCAAGCTAACGTTACGCTTTATTGTCTTAGAGGCATCAGTGTGAACGCTGATGCGACTCAGCTGGAAGAAGAATATTAAATGGGGTTGGGGGAGATCTCTGACAAGGCAACAGGCAGGTCGTGTTAGACCTCCAGCCAATTTCAATTTTATGTTTTATTTTTAAGATCGCCAATGTTGAATAGCCCAATTTTCAAAGACGTAATGTTGCAAATGACACCGACGCTACCATAGCTTGCTCTGTAGAGCAAGCACCAGAATTCTCCAAGGTTTCTGTACTTTCTGCAAACCCTAATTGCAATAAGTTGTGTTTTCCCAAGATGAATGAGTTCATCTTTGGCTATTTTACGTCTTGAACACGGTTTATATATGAGAAAGAAAAGCACTGGGAGTTCATGACAACTCTGATGCCATGGAAGGACAGCTTTAGAAGGAGTTCTGAAATATGCCCAGGGCTCACTGACTTCTCTCTTCAAGGAAGGTGACAGAACTGTGTAGATGGGGACACCAGTGTGAGACCAGGCAGCTTGGCCATTAGGTGGTTGAATGACTCCTAGTAGAAGTTGGCTAGTTATCTCAAATACATGTCGGCAGAGAGGAAATTTTCAGTCGGGCAGGGTCTAGTGACATGCCGGATAACTCGCATCGTTTTGAAGTGGGGTCAGCACAAATGATACTGTAAGATGTCAGCAGTGACTGCAGCGTCATATAAAACAAGGTGATTTCAGTGGCTGACAGACCCACAGCCATGACTGACATGGCGGTGGTTCTTTGCTCACATTCTTAATGGGAGGAAATGCTGAATCGCAGTTAGAAGTTAGTGGAAATAAAGATGTAATTTTTCTCCATGTAATGTATTTTTATTGATTTCAGAGAGGAAGGGAGAGGGAGAGAGAGATAGAAACATCAATGACGAGAGAGAATCATTAATCGGTTGCCTCCTGCACGCCCCCTACTGGGGATCGAGCCAGCAACCTAGGTATGTGCCCTTGATCGGAATTGAACCTGTGACCCTTCAGTCCACAGGCCGACACTCTATCCACCAAGCCAAACCGGCTAGGGCTATTTTTTCCCCACTTAAAGCCACAGAAACTCCCACCTCCCCCTCAAATTCTACTTGTGGACGCTCCAGGGTGTGTGGGTCCAGGACAAACAGCCTGCTTTAGATAAAGCCAGCACACGTATCTCCCAACATATCCACATTTTATGGACACCATCCCCATCGCTGCTCCAAAGGGCCCTTGCTAACTTAAACAGGGCTGGGAACACATGTGTAGGAAACTAGTTCTCCCCAGCTTGACAAGGCAACAGGCAGGTCATGTTGGACGTCCAGCCAATTTCGATTTTGTTTTTTATGTTTAGGGTTACAAACGTTGAGAGTCCCAGTTTTCAAATATGTAATCCCCACCCCTTTGGTTCCTTTCTTCGCTCACTCTCCTCCTCCCTCTCACACCTCTGCCTTTCTCTCTCTCCTGGCTCTGCTGCTGTCTCCCACCCTCGCCATGCCCAGGTGTGTGTTCCTGCCGGACAATGGCGCCTTCTTCATCAACTACGTGATTACATCAGCTCTGCTTGGCACGGGCATGGAGCTGTTGCGCCCGGGGTCCCTCTTCCTGTACACCACCCGCCTCTTCTTCTCCCAGTCGGAGCCAGCGAGAGTCCACATCAGGAAGGTGAGGGCCAGCTCTCCCCTAAGCACAGCCCTCAGAGTGGCCCTTGGGAGGGTGTCAGGAAGGGGGCCTCCTGGAAGCCCCGAGTGTGGGGGGCGTGGTGGGAGGGGTGCTTCTTGGGCTTGGAAGGCAGGATCCCAGACTGATAAGGAGCCCCAGGAGCAGCCGGGCCACCTTCGGTGACTCCTGTTTCCTGCCCAGGACCAGGCTATGGAGTTCCAGTACGGGCGTGAGTACGCGTGGATGTTAAACGTCTTCAGTGTGGTGGTGGCGTACAGCATCACCTGCCCCATCATTGTCCCTTTTGGTGAGTCACACCCAGGGCTGCACACCCTCAGTCTGGAAAGAGGAGGAGTCGAGCCCCCACAACATCAGGCCACGCTCAGGAACAGGAGGAAACCTGGGATGGGATGGCCTGTCAGCTGGGCAGGGGTGTCAGGGCCAGGGCCAGGTCAGGAGGTGAAGGTGGCACCGCTATTGACATAGGACGTTTGTTAAGTGAATGCATGAGTGAATGACTCTTCACCGAGTTGGCAGAATAGGTTCTGGGGCTCACAGGAAGATGCTGGTTCCAGAGGTTGGCACCACGGGGCTGCCACAGCCTGTCCTTGGCCCTTGCTGCTCTGACTTCTCAGTTGTGTGTGGGCCTTGGGATAGCATGAGCCCCGATGTGGAGGGGGGGGCGGGGACAGCCACTGAGTGTGGCTCTGTTTTCCGGCCCCAGGGCTGCTGTACCTGTGCATGAAGCACATCACGGACCGCTATAACATGTACTACTCCTACGTGCCCACCAAGCTCAACGAGCAGATCCACATGGCCGGCGTCAACCAGGCCATCTTCGCGCCGCTGCTGGGTCTGTTCTGGATGCTCTTCTTCTCCATCCTACGATTAGGTCGGTACCAGGCCTGCCCAGCTACTCCACCTCTGCCTGCTCCGCTCCCCTCCCCACAGCTCTGCTAGAACAGAAAAGGCGAGAGGAGCAGGCACTGCTCATTGAGCACAGCCAAGCCCAGTGGCTTCTCGAGGCCTCGGGGCTTCTAGTAGAGCCTTTAAGATAAGGGGAGGGCTTGGACCTCCGCCGTCCAAATCCTTTGCATTTTGGTTTACCACCCTCAGGGAAGAAACATCTTATTCTTTCATTCTCACTCAGGGCTGGCAGAAAATAAGGTATTAGCTCTCAGGCTCAGTTCCCATGACATTCCCTCTGGGACCCTAGATGATGGCTGGTCTTATGAGTTGCCCAAAACCCAGAGGAGGATTCCAAGTCTGACCCCCGGCAGCCAGCTTTTGCCTCCTCTTGGCTCCACGCAGCTGCTGTCCCTGTTCCCACGGGCCAGAGACTGGAAATCCGCTCTGAGGCAAGAAGGGTCACGCTGACCTCCTCTCCTCCTTCCTCCTCGTGCCCCATACTGTTTTCTGCCTCCCCAGACACGGGCCTTCCCTCGGGGACACTTGCCCTTCACCATCTCAGTGGCATGGAGAAGGGAGAATCACAAACATGGGTCCTTCCTCCCCCGCCTCCATGGCATCTGTAAACACGCAGCTCTCAGTCACCCCCAGTTTCATATCCCCCTCGCCTTCTCCTGCCACCTCGCAGATTTCACTTTTATAATGCCTTTTTCTAAGTAGGAAGGACTGCATGTTTATGATCAAAATCAGAAAGGTCATCATTTGAATCCTCTGGAGCCTGAGTGCAGCTGCTCCCAGGCCTCATTCTGTGCACATGTGTTTGGTTT